TATTTCGTTACAAAAACGGATGTGGTAGTCTTTATGAGTACTTTGGTGAGCGAAGCTGTTCTCGAAAGGATGACGATGAAAGGAACAACTTGTTAAGGTCCATTACAGCGAATGTGTGACGTCGAGCACTCGCATGTTTTAACAAAGTAATGTAACATGTCAGAAGTAGTGTTTGCTAACATGTCATCTTCAAGAATTTAATGAAATTTAATTTCAGCGAGAAAGACATCGATGAGGTGTTGCAGACACAAACGGTATTTACTAATGTATCCAAAGGACAGGTAGCGAAACGTGAAGAACTTAACACTGCTTTTGGTACAGACAACCAGTTCGAAATATGTAAAATCGTAAGTTATGTAGATATAAGTCTTTGCTTCTTTCAACATTGTTTAGTACTCTGTAAAACCAGCATCAATTTTGGATCTTTTGCTGTTCTTGCAGTAATATTTGCATTGTTTTACATCTCCTGCAAAATCATTGCATCGTTATGTAAATTTAAGCTTTTCTTGATTCCATATAAATCTAAAGTGCTACGTCGAAAATCTTTGGACATGAACAGTTGTTACTTTTTTTTTCAATTTCAGATTCTAGAGAAAGGTGATCTTCAAGTTTCGGAGAAGGAACGCCTGGCTCAGTCTGATTCATCATTTAAAGAACTTGCTAATTTAATAGCGAACATGTGTGTGAATCCGGATACGAAACGTCCTTATTCCAGCAGTGTTATTGAAAATGCTTTACATCAAACACATTTGAGTCTGAAACCCAATCGTTCGGTAAAGCAACAAGTAAGGAAACCATTGGAATTTTTTTGGGAACTACTTCGTTTGCTTGCCCCAACTTCCAGGCGCATAGTTTGATCTTTTCGAATTATGATTACAATATTAAGGCCTTGGAAGTAATTCCCAAACTGCGTGAGTTAATGAAAATTGATCGAGCAGAGATGCGACTTCGAGTGTCGGTTGAAGCTAAAGAAGCTAAACGTATGCATGATCGACTAAAAGGGATGTTCACCGAAATTGAAGTTGAAGATTGGGAACAAGGAAATCTTGAGATGGTAAAGCGTTCATAATTCAGTTTTTCAAATTGCAGCACTTCTCTTTGCACAAGTCTTTTAAGTAGCAAGCTAATTTATAATAGTTATATTGTTTATGCTGTTTCGTAACTATCGCTTCAGGTTGGGCTGATTGATCCGGGCACATATCGATTAGTGGAAGAGTTGCTTCAGAAGGAGACAAAAAAAGCAGGACGTTTAGAATTATTAACGCTTAAAGTTATTGGTGAAGGCGATGTAGAAATCTCCTGACTCGCTATAAATCATTTCATAAATTTCGTGTCATGTCTTGTTTATAGTTCAGTTTCGAACACCCTGGATAAAAAACTTATGGTCTTTTCAGAGGTTTAATTATTGATTTGGATTGCTCAAAACAAGTTTGGCGAGATTTCTGTAACTTCGACTTTTTTTTTTTTTTTTTGAGGACTTAATAATTTATATGGTTTGAAGTAAAGATTTTTTTTTTAACATAACAGCACGTTTCGGAAGCTAAACATTGAGAGACCTACTTAATAAATAGAGGCAAACAATCTTCACTGACTCATAATTGGTTATGGAAGTGAAGTAAACATAGATCTTGCAGTGTTATAGCTCCATTAGCAAGCTGAAAAAGAATTTGAAATTTAGCAAAAATCAGAAAACCAAAAATGAAAAAAATAAACCCAATTTGAATTTGCTTAGCAGAATAAAATTCTAACACTTTACTGAATTTTTAATGGAATTGTGCCAAATTTAAATTTGAATCAAACGGGCTTTCTGCTACTTCGATGAGATTATAGAGAGTTAGTAAAATAACGAGTAACAAGTTAGCATTCTGATGAAATCAAAAATATTTAATAGCTTTAATTCTTCAATGGTGATCCTTCTTAAGTTAAGTGCGCTTGTTTTTTATTTTTCAACTAGTTGATCTTAAAATATTCTATTTCTTCAAGAAGTTAGCCTTTATTCCGCATATTTCAGCACTGAATATAAAATAGACTTGATACACCCAGAAAGAATAAACGTAAAAACATATTATTCACTGAATACAGCAAAAGTGAACACTGTAGTTACAAATTAATGAGAAACAAAGTGTTCACTGGTGAGTACATAACTGATATCGGATTATTTTGTCTTTCATCCGTTTTGACGTCGAGATACATTTCTGCATTTTGTTCATTTCAGTAATAATTTTAGTTCAATGTTTGGTGCTTTAAAAGTTTAATAATGATGCCACCCATTATAATGGACGTAATACTGTGCCCAGCAGTTACTAGTTCTTGTAAAAAAAAAGTTTCTGGAGAACATTTATGGATAGAATTGAAATGAATACATCCGTCTAGAAAATATTGTATTCCAAAGCTCTTAAAGGTGCTCGTTATCGAAAGCAAAATCTTCACGCAATATAAGACCTGTTGGGCTAATCAATGAAAAATCTGGTGACGAACATTGGGAAAATATAGAGCAATGAAAGGAAATATGCGTGATATGACTGTTTAAGAAAGGAGTGAGTACACCATGGACAGATCCTCAAAATGAGAAATAAATTTACTGGTTTTAGTTTTATTACAAATCAGACAAAGAGAGTTATCACAGTTGAGTTGATGATCAGAAAGGTTATGCTCTCTAATGTGCTGGAGTGGCATGTCCGGCCCAGGATTCTTAATGCTTAGTTATTAGGGTCAAGTTAGTCAACTGTGGACGAAACTAAAAACGATGCAAGATGATGATTAAAAAGAAGTTTGACGGGTAATTGCATGCTAAAGTGGAGAGTTGGGCAACCAGGAAGAATTAAGGATTTTCAGAACTATTTTCAACAATACGCCTTAAGTATTTACAAAACTTAATTAGAATGAAAAAGGTAATTCATCTATACCTGACACTTGAAGTCCTGAAATTTAATTAGATGTGAATTGGTTTCATTGTACAGAGCATTCCAAATTAAGTATGTATTTCATTAAGGAGATAAACTCATTTATTAAAATTCTGCATCCTATTTGTAATAAGACTTTAAACCACTTGGCAGAAATCGATATGAATGTAAACGTATGACCACGGATTGTTCTGCTAGCAGCTAAAACAATAATTCGATTTTGTTATTGATGGTACTTGCAGATAAGCTCCTCAATGTCTATATTGAAGGAAGACCTGAAGTACTATGAAATGATCTAGTGATGACTTGTAACATTTTTTAGCATGAGCATGAATTTTTACAACTGGGAACTTTTCTAATATATTGAGTAAGAAGAAAATTAGCATAAATTTATTGACAAGTTTTATTAGCAACTGCAGTGTTGATAAAAGCTTTCTGTGTTTGCAAAATGTGTGCACGCACAGCGTACTTGAAGTAATTCTTAGTGAAAACGTTAATTGAAAGCGTTGACCTCAACAGCCTATGAATTGAGCTACAAGTTAATAAATTTAATTGAGACTGTCATAACGAAGTTTGGCGAAGCATTTCTGATGATCATTTATGAGGAAGAAAACTTCCCGAAGATGTACTGTCCATGCAATATGCTTCTCTCAGATACGGGATTATATAAGTTGTTAGAATTTACTAATTGTGCTGAATCTTAGAATGTAACTGAGTTAGACAACCTGGGTAAAAGGTCCACTAATTTTCAACATAAATCTGCAAAGACTATAAAACTACTGGTCGTGACAAGAATTATTATTTAACAAAAATTATCTTTTTGATTTTAATATTATCCAAAATAAAAAAGAGAATATTCCTGAATAATATTGAATTAAATAATGTTGGTTCTCTCTTTTGATATTAGTTTTCTCAAGAAAACCAACCAGAACAATGAAATACTAGCACTATAAAATTAGACTGCAGAAAGTAGAATTCAAGCTTTTATTAATTATTGTGTCTGATGTGTCAGTTTAATAATGTTGGCAACTATGACAACTATAGAATTCTAGATATTTATTTCATTTGTTGACATCAAAAGTAAACAATTACAGCAACTGTAGCAGGACAAGACTAAGCAATGTTTACTAGTGCATGAAGAAAGTGCACCATAAGTGAAAACTGTCAAAAATCAAGATTTTAAAGTAAATATTCAAAAAGGCTTTCAGAAGAACATTATGCATTAAATGTGGTAGCAGGTAGCAGTACAGGTGTGTAACGAACAAGTCCATTCCATTGTTAATCTACTTGGAGTATTTGAATACTCAGCAAATATTGACAATTGTGTCTTGCATGGTACTTGGTTCGAAATATCCGTAATTTTTTGAGAAAAAAAGAAAGGGAATGAGAGAGAGGGAGCAAGAAAGAAAGAAAAACATGAACAAATTTTTTTAGACTAATGGAACTATTAAATTGTCGTTTCTTCAACAAATTATCCAAAAGCTGATCTCAATCTTTCACTTTGAGAGTCACAGTTAAGATTGCTACAGTACTCTCAGTATGGAATTGTGCTTGTTTTAAAAATTATGATTTAAAATATTCATCTTGAGATCAACCTCCGAAATGTAATTGGAAAGAACTAGAGAACTTAAGAAAAGTTTATATATTTAGTGAGCAATCGATGTGACAATGTCATTTAATCGTATTCCTGCTGTAACATCTTTACTTTATTTCTGCTATAATATCTTTACCCTTTACAGAATGTTATGGATTCGGAAACTAAAAGTAGCCCTTTTTTCAGTCCAATTAATCATTCTTTGCAGTTATGAAACAATGGGACAGGTAGGAATTTGAACATGCAAGTTATAGTTTTATTAAATTACCGAGATTTTCCTTTGATGCCCCTCATATTAACTTGATCAGAAATTCCTGGAATTCTTAGTCGTATTTCTCGAGAAATGAAACAAGTGATGAAAGAGGTAAATTCTACCAAATAGGTAGGTTTTTCTCTCACATCCTCCGTATATATTTTTGGTGATTGATATTTCAGTAATCATGAAATCATGTTTATAGATAAATGAAACTTTCAACAGTGAATCGTTGTCTATGCTATCAATAATGGATGAAGTATTTCCGAATGTTCCTAATAGAAATCAGCGAAGATTTGCCAATACGACAGACTTACGAAAGGGCATCATCAAAAATAGAACCTGGTCGGAAGGTGTTGCACAACTACTACCGAGAAGTATTAATATCCGAGGCCTTAATTCACTTGCTCTACACCGAGGTTTGTCCATTTTTAGACTTCTAAATCGCATAGAGATAGATTTCTCATCACTATATTGGCTATTGGTTAATGCGTTTAAGAACTTTTATGTCAAAAATTTGATTATAGATTCACCGGAACCGTATTCCGGACTTGGAACTATTCGTTTATACAGTATGCGCTTTTGTCCATATGCTGAACGAGCTATAATTTATTTGGCCAGGAAACGATTACAGTTAGTTTTATTTTAAATTCAAAAATTCAAAATAAATGAATAGTTTCAAAAGATAAAAGAGATGCACTTCTATGACATGGCAATTATGGGATGTGGGATATATTCGTTTTATAAAACTTTTTTAAGATTAGATAATAAGTGTGCTGCATCAAGAAGTCATTTTAACCATTGCTATTATTTTGTCTAATGAATATTTTCCGAATTGCTTTAGAGTGGAAATAACAAACATCAATCCAGAAAATGTACCGAAATGGTTTCTGAATAAAAGCCCACTCGGTCGAGTGCCTACTTTTGAAATGAATGGCATCGTTTGTTACTTTTTTATTTTGTATTCATTTAAATTTATTTGTAATTTATATGGCTTTTTTTACCAAACTATACAATCATTTTAGAATTACAACCTTTATTCAACTTAACTTTGTTACATGCAAATAATTAAGTTATGAGATTGTATCTATTAGACAATAAATTACAGACTATCTATGAATCGTCAGTGATCGCCGAATACCTTGATGAAATATTTCCGGAAACAGCTATTCTTCCACGCCATCCAGTTGCCAAAGCAAATCAGAAAATTCTTGTTGAAAGGATGTCACCGGTTTTCTTCTTAAATTACCACACAATTTGACAACGCATTTTTCATTGTCCGTTAGATTAGACAAAACTGCTTGTACATAATTAATTGTTTGAAGTGAACATTATCTGGTAGCTTAGTGTAATCCTTTCTCCCTTTATAATAATACATTTAGCTCATTTCCACAATGTTCAAAATCTTACATCCCAATAACGTTACCGTTCAACAAGACGTCGATAAGTCATTGCATAATGCTCTCCGGAATGCCGAAGTTCTGTTAACGGATGATTTCTATGGAGGTTGACAACTTTTCACTAAGTTACCCCTCAAAGAGATAATTCATTTCACGGAATTCAAATTAAATGCACTCTTTTAATAATGGGCAGCAAATAATAAATATATTTTATGAACTAAACTAATTAATTATACAATTTGAATATATACAGGGTAATTTTTCAGGAAAAATATTAGGCTTTGCTGATATAATGATGTGGCCATTTCTGGAAAGACTACAACTTGTGACAGTTAATCCTTATACAGAATTTAGGTGCTGTTAATGAAAATTGAAAAATACAGAATTAGAGCTTTATTCTATTCAAAATTTGAAATTCTCTAAGATGGATATATTGTCACTAAAAAAAATTTCAAAATGCATAACTTTCATAAGAAACTCTTTGTTATTTTAGAATATTTAAGCAAGAAATATTTCAGAGATTTTTTAAATAGATATTTACATATTTCAGATATTTCCCAGGTTTTTACTATCCGAAAATAAGTGCATATATGGCCCGTATGCAAAGGCAGCCAGAGGTATAACTAGCCTACTAATAAATTGAAAGAGCATGATAAACAAACAAGTATAATTTATTTCGCTTTTCATTTAAGTAAAAAGCTCTGTTTAAAATTGTAGGAGTAAAAGCGAATCAAAGTGTTACGTTTTTAATTTGCTCAGCCTCCATGTTAATACTATGTTATAAATACTTCGATTTTGAAGATATTATTTGCTCAACGCCCAATTGAACAGCATGCAGCGTACGTGAACAGCTTTTTGACGGGCCATCCGAATTACGATATTGGTATCAATCAGTCATAACACTCCAGTTCCATCAAATCATGATTTTGGATTTTTTTGTACCAGATTCCAGTACTTTTTTTTCAAGTGATCATTTTGATAAAAGTTATATCATTCTTAAAAACTCGGCATTTTGGCTGAAATTAATTAAAATTAGAGAAAAATTATCGATGATATGATTGCAAATATGCTGTATATTCCTCAAGTAATTAGCCAACGTAAGTAATTTAAACTAATTGAAACGAGAAATTAACACTAATACATGTGCTTGCTAGTTGCACAATTTAACCAAGGAAATGTCAGTTTCTCATTATGAGCTTTACAGCTGGAAATAGCTTTAAGATTCTTTTGAGAATGTTTGCAATTTAAAATGCCTGCTACTTGAGTGTGAAAGAAATTTGATTCTCGACTTGTTGTTTTCAAAATTTCTATAAGCTTAAAATTTATTTGACATTTCCCATCACCACGGCAATGTTTTCATCGCCTTCCTACTCCGGATCTTCAATTTGCTCTCGAATATTCGGCTTTGCATCAAGATGAAAGACTTAATTGATATCATAAATAATGTAAATGCTAAATACATGAACAATGCGCATTGAGCCGTTAATATTGCAACAAACGCTAATGAACTAATTAAAATTTTCTTTCTTCTCTTTGGCTTTCCGTTAATATAATCTAAGTATAATCAATTTTTTACAACGCTTCTCATTAAAGACTCAAATAAGCAGTAAGTCTTAATTATCAATCAGAGAAATGAGTGCAGCAAAAACCTGACCACTTCTCTCACTTTGTTATATTCCTGCAGCAAATTATATTACATCCTAGGTACGAATCAAATATTTCGTTTATATCGTTTAGATAACTGATTATTAGTTTGTGTATTTGATGATCAGGTAGAAACTCACAATCGATAGAAATATAAAAAAAAAAAAAACAGGTACAAAAGGTAATTACTGACGCAGTAAAAATTGATAACATATGATTTTTGTCGAGCTTTGTTAACTGTTTTCGTTAATACGAAACAGTTGCTATCGTGGTACTCTTTATTACTAAGAAGATCGGTTTGAGTGGTACAAATTGTTTCTAAAACAGAGGATTTGAGATCGGATTGAAAGCAATCATCGAGAATGAAAGCAATCAAGGCATCTCATCTATTGCTCTGGTAAATTTTGCATTCTTTAGTGGAAAATTTTATCGAATTAACAGCTTTTTGTTTATTTTGTAATGATAGGATAAAAGAAGGCAGTTCAGAAATTGTGTCAAACACTCTCTCTAATTGCTAGCCATGTTCATAATTTAAGAGAGTTATTTTGAGAACCACAAGTGCTATAAGTAAAAGACACTATTCCTATTTTAAGGACCCATCCAAAATATAATATTTCAGTGTGGGCCATTTAAACTGGAGGAAACATTAGAGGAATGTGCTTTTATTCTTTAATGCGAGTGAACTGAAGACGGAAAAGTTTGGTTTTTTTGACTTTAATTTTTTAAATTCATTTCAAATTTTATTTCAATGAGTTTCAACTGAACAATTTTCCCTTACAGTTTACACACACACAGAGAGAGAGAGAGAGAGAGAGAGAGAGAGAGAGATGTCAGTTCATTTCATTAGCATTAGCAATAGATGAGCGTATATTTGAATGAGTGGTAATGACATGTGATTTGTTAAGAAGTGGTGACGAAGTGTAGTTAATAGTTGGATGACTCTAGCAGAATCAGTGTAAAAGAGGCATCTTCAATTTGCTTTCAAATTGTTTAATATTTTGAATTATTCGTTTATTTAATCATTGTAAATGATATGAATCTTTCCTGTTTTGAATTCCTATTTAGCATTGACTTTTGACCTCTACTTATAATCAGTTCAAAGGACTCATAGATCTGAAACCCACACAACATGATTTTTGTATCGCATCCTGAAAAATGAAGCAATGCACTAAATTTTCTAAACATTCATCTACAGTAACTTAATAACTTTCTCGCCTTTAATAATATATAATTAACCAACTCAGTGTTTAGTTTTGAAAGGAAACGCAAATATTTTTACCGATTTGTTGAACTAAAGTATTATGAAATGACTGAAATTGATTAAACCATGGATTATAATCTGTTTCCATTTTGATTTAACTAATCAAAATATTTTTTGTTTCGTATGATAACTTACGTATACAGTTGTCCAAACTTTTCTCACGTACGTATTTATATTGCTGGTGAACTTGCTGAGTTACACTAAATTGTGTTAGTTTATTGATTTGATTTAAATATGACTTTCGCTTAATGTGCTTTGCAGCAAACGTTTCATTTTTTTTTTTGGAAAGAAGCTGAATTCAAGAGGGAGAAGTCACGTGAAACTTCTTCATATATGAGAAACTTCAGTCGGTGAAATTCTGACTCGCAAATTCTTCTTTATCTATGAAAACTTGTTGAAATTTTGAACTATCAGAAAGGTGTCTTTGAGACTGCATTAGCTCATAAAAAATGGAAAACGATGTGTTTTTTGAGTGTAACAAGTGGAAAGAGAATATTTGCTCGCCTGCAGCGCTATGTTTTCCAAATTTCGAGATCGGCCTACTGCTGCTGCTGCTGCTGTCTATTTCACTTGACATAAGAATCGTTTCTCTTCACTTCCAAAATTTTTTCTTTTTTCAAAAAACACTTCACGTAAATATCATATTTTCCTTTTCTCTTAAAGAATGCAATTTGTAACTTTATCCCGATTGCTTTCACTACATAACGAGTATGAAGCATTTTGTCTCCAGCAGTTGTTTTCAAATACTTCCGTGAATTTGTTAACCTTTCCGTCATCTATCACTAACATTTCCACCACATATTTCAGCCTGATAGCTTTCTTGAGACCATTACTAGGCACAAAGATGTTGCACAAAGAAGATTATCGATCGAATGGTGTAAAGGTAACCAATTTTTCCAGAAGAAACTGAATCTAGTTTATCGGACAAGAATCATTCTTACTATACACATGGATAACCTACATAGTTTCAAGTCGTCCCTACAGTGATCGTATCTATACGTAATCGTAATGATATTGTATATCGAATGCTACAAGATGCAGTAGTTTGGCAGGTCGGTGGTACATACGCTTTTAATACCGAATTTTCTTGCATTGCTTGGAGGTAAAATTTGTTAAATCTTCTTCGATTCAGACGCTTCTCACGTTTTTTTGGTAAACTGCTGATATTATTTAAAAGGTTTTTTGTGGAATAATTTTTCGCGACTAATTTCATATTAATATACTGACGTTATGTCATGATATTTATCTACGTCACTTAAAGCACTTTATCGCTCTTTTGATCTTCTTTTTCACCCAGTTCAGGTATTACAACGTCACATCAGTTCCCCAACAATGGCAGTGCTACAGAAATCTCAATCATTTCCAGAAACATCGAAAGATATAACCGAAAACCTGAAAATATCACTTCCCGATTTTGTCATCCCAATTAAACATTACCCGTCAATGTGAGCCATATCTTGCATATTTTAAATTCCTTCACGACTAACTTTTATCGTAACTACTTCTTCCCATAATCGATTCATTTCATGTTTTTAGCATAATTCCAACTTCATTCTTTGTTGAGCTACCATTATAGGACTGTGAATAGCAATAATAATAATTATAATACATCCTTCGAAGCATTCGTTTGGGATTGGCCATTCAGTGAGGATCGTATGGCTAAAGGATTTCTTTCCAGCGAAAAATTCTTTGTTTGTTTACCTTTCAATCAAGGTGGCACTGGAGAATCCAAAGGAACGGTAAGTCTACTTTTTTTTCCCAGGAATTTAGAAATAAAGACTCACCAATTTTTTTAGGACTCTAGAAATATAATATAATATAATATAACTAAAAATATAACATAATATAATTAGAAACATAATTGAATGAACAGTGGATGATTGCATGTTTAAAACCCATCTAAATTTGAATTACATCTTAGCCAAATTAATTATATCTTGAAATAACTACATTTTGATCTTCCGAGAAGAATATAAAATATAAATCTTTACACTTTCGTCTTGTTAGTAGAAAACAGATGACAACAGCTACAATCTGCAATCTGGTTGATTTCTCGAAAAAAGTTAGCAACGTACGACTTTCAGCTGAAAAAGTTTGAAAGGATCTCGGAATCGAACTTTAGTTGCATTATTGGACTTTGCAATAATAAATTGTTTGGGACTTGCTTTTGGCGACTCGAGATCGAAATTTTAAGAAACCTCAATATGCTTGTACTCAATGCCTCAAGGTGATTTCGACTTCTTAAATTTTACTTATAAGCTTTTCTTTAATAAATGAAGATCAAATTTTAAAGAATGGTGAGAAATCAAAACATTTCTAATCAAAAAAAACTCCGTTAAAAAATTTGAATTTGTATTCGCTGCAAATTTTTTTCATTTTAAAAAACATGACAAAAATATGAAAAAAAAGTTAAAATACAAACTTCAATTAATTCAAGTGATTTTGTACATTCTGCTAGATAATAAGTATATTTTAGAGATATATCACGACCAGGAGAAACAGTGAAACGTTTGAAACGTGTTCGTAAAGTATACAAACTGCCCCAACATTGTGACATATCAACACTTACAACAGCAAGTTACGATTGGGCAGTTATAATTCAAGCAAATCGAAGAGATGATAAATTTTCTGGAAAGAGTCATTCTAAAATATTGCGGCGATGCGCTACGCTTAATAATTAAACTGTCAAAATAATATTAAATACAGAGATGGCTACTATGACACCTTTTTTGTAAAACAACAAAAGCGTTCAGTGCAATCTATTAAAAATTGTGTCTTCAAACGTTTTCTTATATACATAAATCTCAGGAGATTCTACAATTTGACGCAATATTATGGAGAATGTTTGACAAGAACAATTTGCTTTTTGTTTAAATTCAATATTCCATACTTTGTTGTTCCAGTTTGAAAAAAAAAAGTGTTAGACATCCAATAAAAAAATTGCTTCTGACTTATCTTTATAATTGCCTCCTTGCAGGAGACAAATTTATTTGCAGCATATTAGTCTAATTCTATAATAAATGTTGGTAAATAATTAATAAAGTTACAACTAAAGTATTTTGCCGAAATATATACTACCATGAAAATTTTTCTTATCTTTCCAGCAATCAAAGAAATCATTTCCAAGAAAGATTCGCAATTTTTGTTGTCGCACAAGATTAGTTAATTATACGTATGAAATACGTAATGAAATTGCACTTAGGCTTATCATACCTCCTTTTTTTCTTAATTATTCTTAGTTTTATAAATATTATGCTTATATACATGTACTATACTAAATGATGTCATACTTCTTCATCCTTTTTTTCAAATTCTTTTTTCACTTCTCTTTCTTCAATAATTTTTATGACTTCCATTTTTTAAAAGAGATCAGTTATGGAGCTTTTGTTATTATAAAAGACCAGTTTTTACTCATAAGGAATGCAAGTAAAGGAATTAAAACTTAAATTGAACTTATGCATATAAATAAGCAATGATTCTGGAAATTTGCACATAAATTCCCCATGTTGTTTTGAAAGTGGTCTTTGAATAATTTCTGAATAGTTCCGATCAATAAATTTTTACGACAGTTGAAAATTATTTTGTTCCATTGTTAGGTTTGGAATTCATCAGCTTGCGACTAATATGGTTGTCTCAACAATGTCTTATATTAATCAGCGAGAACTACTTACAGACTTGGAATGGGAAGGAATTAGTTGAAGTGGAAAAAAAATTCTGAAAAAGAATTCTCCTTACTGCTGCAAAGGGCTTTGCAATTTCCTGGTCAGAAATGAAGACTTACTAGGCATTAGAAAGTTGAAGGATTAAAGTTCAGAGGTCACTACGATGGCGTACGTTATTCTGTACAGAAGCGTTAAAGATGAACTGTCGTGTCGAGTAAGAAAACAGAGTCTTAAGATTAAATTCAATTAAATTAATAAACACTATTTTTAATCATGCATGGATATTGAGCAACGACATCCAAATGATGAAAATGACCACTTTCTAACACATCGGTTTCCGATAAACTTGTATGGGAGGGCAAAATGATATGAATCGTTGGCTAAAGCCTTATTTACCCAGCCATCTGATAATTTTGATACACTGACTAATTTTGATCTTCTCAATCACTAAACAACGAGTGACATAATCAATAATTATTTTCCACTGAAGAAATTGTTGAATAACCCAAATAAAATTAATTAGTCCTTGAGGTAATGATACCAGTATGCAATATTAAACACACTGAACAGCGTCGGGAATAATATTGCTGATAGTTTGTCAATGTATTGTGTTGCTTGCTCCTGAAAAACACCATTCAACAATTTTGAGAAAAGGAGCTGTGACACTTAATAAACATTAGATCATTAGAACACTAAGATTATCCGATCCGGTTATTTTACATAAAGCATTTACAGGTATAGTAACAGGAAACGACCTCACGATGCTAATGATCAAACTTTTTTTGCTAAATTCTCCTTAAGGCTGATTTAAAATGATTTGGAACTTAAAATCATTGCCGAAAAATATAAAAATTGCGAAGAATTCGCATTAGAAATGCGAATTGAAATAAAATAAAGCAAAAAATTATGATTTATACAATAAATTTGTACAAATCACAAAAAATAATGTAAGCTTGATGAAAGATCAATAAATATATTTTTTACATAATTTACCCTTTGTTTGGAAAGTGAAGCAGGATCGTATGATGGTACTGGAATGGATGAACAGGATTTTGTGTTAGGTAATGCTTCTTGTTGTAAGCAACTACAAGGGCCTGCTATTGAAGCCATAGTTGCTTTCAGGTGATCATTAAGACCATAACCCGGCGGTATGTAACCGTAATCATTGCCACGCGCAAGATTTATCAATGCATTCTCTTCCTCAGTTGCTAGTCTCCGTCTGTAATACATTAACCATGTAGATCAACTGAGCAGAACTTGCCCACTGATCAATTCATCTACATTCATCCGTTTATTCAAATTAAACTGAAGAAAACTTGAATATCTCTTTTCGAAATGTCTCCAGTAAAATATGTTGTGTGACGCTAATAATCTAAGAACTTGACCTAGGAAGTAGGGAATTCGTTTCATAACGATCTTGGTGCATTAACTTGATACTATCATCATCCTGATGTACTTCTGGTGATACCTTTGCCGCTACCGGCTTCGGTGGGTCCAGCTCTTCTCTGCTCAAATATCCGACCCAGGCAAGCTCTAATAGTGAACAGAAAACGAAGGTCATACAACTCAACATCCAAACATCTATTGCCTGAAAATGAGTCGTTATTTTATTTAAGAATTCTTCAACTTTCGTTTTTACTGGAAGCAATAGAGAAACGACAAACCTTGACATAGCTGACCCGTGGTAAATTTCTTATAATATTACCGAACTGAAAAGTCATTGCAAGTAGTGAATTAACGCCCAGCATTGTTCGAGCTGGTATTGCTTTAGAACCAAGGGCAAATGAAATCCATGCTAAATGTGAAACAATTAATAGAGTAATCGTACGAAGATTGAATTAGTTAAATAAAACTTACAAGTACCAATTTTTTAATAGATCGTTCGTTTTTTAAAGGAATATTATTTCTTCCACTAACATAATATTTAGTGATTATTCATTGATGATGTAGTGATAACTATCTTGATGCCACCAGCAACAGGAAAAGTCCAAGTGAGAGGAAAAATCTTTATGACGGGAAATATTTAAATCAGCTAAGCAACTTACATATACAAATGGTAAGATAAGTTGGAAGATAAGCTTGTAAAATATACCATCCAGCGCGTCTTTTAAAATGAAATTTCATTGTTAATTCATGCCAAAAACCAGCTGGATAAGGCTAAAAAAGTCTTCTTAAACACAATACTGGAAAAAAAAAAGAACCCACTTTAATTAATTTTATTTTTCATCACGAATTTAATAGCATTGTTAACTTCGATGATTCTACAAACCCTAACCGCTAAATATATTCGCCTTTCTGTTTCCGTCCATCTTTTTGGATGTAAGGAGCTAATTACTTAAAATCGTAATGTAGCCTAAAAGTAATCGACAGAGACCAATAATTGATTAGTTTATCGATTGAATAATCAACAATAAAATATAACCTCTGTCTTCCTGAGATTCTCAATACCGGTGAGTTCATAATCAGCCAGTTCCATTTTTTCACGCATTTTCGAAACACCAAGTGGTGACCAAATCATTTGAACTTCATCGGTATTATAGCTAAATAGAAACGCGGAAATGCATTTTATAAAATTATACCAAAACACTAAAACTGTTAAACTTAAGATAAAAGCAAAGATAAAAAAAAAAGAATGAACATCGAATTTTTCTCATCTCTGAAATGAAAAAAAAAAAAAAAAAAAAAAGAGAAAGAATTCTGAAAGGCTACGGAACGTTTTGTCAGTTCAGAAGCTCAAATAATATATAATGATCAATCATATGTATATAGCACTACAGTATCCAAAAAAAGGAAAAAAAAATGAAATTAAAATTAATTTGAGAACAAGTCTATATTTTAATTCTGCAGATGGTAAGTTTGCTTCGTTTCAACATTTCTTTCCTTTTCACTAATTTCATAGCGAACTAATAGTCAGGATCACATAAATCCTAAGTCTAAATCATAAAATAATTGTCATATTGTATATTTAAAAAGTTCAAAGCTTGAGAAACTCACTTAAAACTTTCGAAAGTAAGCGAGCATGTAACATTATCGAAGGGAAATCTTGTTAAATCCATGGTGCATGGTCCTGGAATTGATATTTTTTCTTTAAAGTCCATAAATTTCAATGTCAACATTACCTTATTCTCGTCATACCTGTGTATTATTATTCGTTGTTCTAGAATTCTTCAAATTTGATTCTTAATTTTTATTCGTATTATCTGAAAGTTTTATATCTCTTCTTGCTATTTAACCACTGATAAAAAATCAAGTCCAAACAAAATTTGGGATAAAGTAATTTCCCCAAGCTATATTATGGGATTTTAAAATCGAAATTGCTAAGCTACTTTTTTAATATTTTTGACCGAAAATTTGAAATATTTCATTTGGTTAATTGCAAAAGCGCATCAAAAAGCAAATTTAATAAACTATCTAGAAAATGACAAAGGAATTTCAAAACACCAAGTTTCGAATATAGATTCAGAATGAAAGAGGAGAACAAAGGAAAAAATATACTTTGCACATTCAGAAGCTACTATCCTACAGACTTTTCTTTCTCATTTTGAACTTCTACAACATAGGAAACTTGAATTTCTTATAGCTTCTTCTAATTTAGCAAAAGTATAAGGGATAGCAAAAATTATTTTTATTTTACTAAAAACCTTAATTTTCTAATAAATTATCATAGAAATCTTCTATTCAGTGATATTTTTTCCTCCTGGATATATGTTAGGAAGTAATTTAAGCATACATAAATAAACAAAATGTAGTATTATATGAAGATTTAGGGTTTAAAACAAAACAAGACATACAAAGAAAAAAGATAAACCTTGCAATTTAAGTCTATAATTGGTCCACACTGATCCGTTAGAATAAATCATTAAAAAAATGTTTGGAAACGGACTTCGATGTATATCAGCGGTTTTAGAATTGATAAAACATGAGTTAGGAGTCCAGAGTTTCTCCAACAAAACGCTATTCAGCGACAAATTATATTTACAGGGTTGCATCCAGGAATAATCCAAAGCAGGATCCAGCCACATCTCACTGATGTAAATATCCAACTGCAACTAAGTTTTATTATATGTCAAAAATTTCCCAAACAAAGGATGTATTTAAAAAAGCAGAAATTTTATTGGCAAAGAAAGAATTTCATCGCCAATCGCAATTGCAATTCCACTTCATTATTTTGCCACATTATTTCTATGCTATTTCACTTCATCAGTAGCCAAAAATCTTAGAAAGAAACATTGGAACAGTACTGGTTGCTCATTTCAGCTTATATTATTTGCACTTCAAATAAAAAGAAATGGACTGGTTTGTTATTTAAAAATAAAGAATTTACTTGAAAATCGGAAGTGATATCACTAATCGTTGTGATCTCTTGTACCCAAACCTCGACCTGAACAATCACTGAATCTCCTGGAATTTTATGGCGGTTATATTTTTTGAGAATAGTTTCCAGAATGAATGAATCATTGGCGCAATTTTGTTCACGTTTTATCTTATCACCCGCTGAGAGTGCTGAATGGTGATAGTGGGGATACTGTAATTGTTCCTGCTTTCCGTTAATTGATTCAATTACTGGACGTAAACCACCGTACTCATCCATTTGCCAATCGTACAGTCTGAAATTGTGAAAGTAATAAGCACTTTACAATAAATTTTATTTAAAAAACAAAATTTCAAGCTAAATTTTGGATACGGAATAATTTCCTCAAAATTCTCTACCTCTTACGCTATGAATAATGCAAAAGTTGCCAATTTTTCAACCAATTTTTGGAAAAAACTACCTACTCAACCTTCGAAGAATTCTTGAGTTCTTCCTGTACATCGTTTGTCTGAAAAGGAAATTTTTGGTGTAATTTTTTGGAAATTTTCTCACAAAGACTTTTTAATTAATTTTTTATAATTTTAAGGATCACCAAAAATTCTAATGCAAACAATAAAAAAATATTATACAATAGTTGCCAAGGTCTATCTGTTCAGCCTTTGAGAATGTTAAATCTATGAAAATGAAATTTCTATTTTATTTTGCCATTCTGGCTTGAATTCAGCTGTTCGTTCAATTTTCGTACTGGTAAACGATAAGCCTAAAATGAAAAAATTTCCATGTATTTTACAATTCATTTAGATTGAACTTTGCAATCTTCTATAGTTCAAGCTTTAGTTTCAACAAATTATTAGAATTTTTGCTTCCCTTCCTCTTTGATAAAAAAACGCAAAATTTCCTTTTGTTATCGGAATTTAATTTACTTTCTTTTCCACCAAAACGATTTCGAAATTTTGGATTTCAGTAATTCAACAAGAAAATTCATCGCTATTTTATTTCCACCTTCACCTTTTCCACTTGAAATGTATAATGAAAAGAGTTGATCTTCAAACCTATTTGTTACTTATTCTTGCAATAAGTAAACAAATTGTGTCAATAAAAGAATTTAGAAAATCGAAAATAAATTCCTTTTTATAATTTATTTCGGCTATTAAAAGATCTTTTGCTCCTTTTTGTTATGGATGAACTAACTTTACTTTTAACAAAACTCTGCTTTGGTTAACCAATTCCGAAAAGACGAACTTTTATCAAGTCTAACAATGATTATTTGAATGAAGCAATAAAGATGTGACAGAAAGGATGGCATCTAGCTACTGTCTAATCAAATGTCCAGTTCTTATCAACATATGCGATGAGTTTTGCGTATGATAAAGTTATGCGTTAGCCCTGATTTTATGATGTTGTAAGGATCCTAAGATAATCTTAAAGGAACTGAGAGCAGGGAATTTTTGAATTTTGAATGCTCCTCTCTAAATATAATGCCAACATTTTCCACTGATAGAAGCTTTTTATATGGCCTATTATGAAAGATGGAATCGGAGCCTCAAATCTGGTACTACTTCTTTATGGCATTTTTCCTTCCTTGGGACTATTTTCAAAGGCAGTAAAACTGAAGTCCTTTCTCGATTGTACATCGAACAGCCAAAAGAGTACATCTTCTGAGGACGAAGAGAAGAAAGGATTTTGTTGGAAGTGGTGGGTGAAGTAAGAAGTAGTCAGGCATGAGAAGGATGAAAAAGGTGCAAAGCAGATAAGGAAAATATTCGATTGAAAACATTTTTTTTTTTTCTGTTAAACATTCAAAAAATGTACCAGAGCAAATGTCTTTTAACTAAACCAGTCGCAAAACTCACTCGTTTTCCGTGTAATTTGAAAAATTTTAAAGATACTATTAAAAGTAATTTTTATCATTATGTTTATGATTTGAAATGATAATTGAATTAAGCAAGGATTTCTGCAATTTTTAGACCGTCAGAATAACACAGAGTGGAAAATTTTTTGGTAAAAGGTGATGTGAATACAAACGGCGAAATGTAAATTCCAATTTTAGGTCCTGAAAAATTCTAGACTTCAAAAATAAAAGAAAAACTCCGATATCTAGAATCCGGTAATCCCCAGATAGACCATTCACCATTTACTTTTTCGATACTTTGAATTTGGCACGAAGTTTTACAGTAGTAAAAAAATTTTTGTCTGGTTAAAACTATTTGTTGAATTGGAAACTAGATTAATACGCTTTCGATATTTGATTGGTAATAGTATTAGTGACGATAAATGACGCAACAAAGTTACTTTTAATGATAGAAATTAATGAATACAATAGTACTCATTTTGTTGCTAGTATTTAGTATAATAATAAATGGAATAATATCAATTTTGATATTATTTAATTATAGGGATGATTAAGCTTCAATGACATTATGAATAACCTTGCACAAAAGATAGTATATTGAAGTATATGTAAAGTAAAGTAGGGTGAATCTACTTAATTTTCGAAAGAACCTTTGATATGCTTTTTGGAATTCATTCTAATCTTTTCCTTTATTTATGAAAATTATTCTAAATTGATCTTTTTTGAAAATCTTTAATCATGGTTTCTTTCATCGAAGAATTTTCAGAATATTTGCAGATTGCATCTATTTTAGAAATGAAAATAAGTTCTGATTGTATCAGTTTGGAATTAAAAAAGAGTGCATAATTGAAATAACAATCCCTTGTTAATTGGATGCATTTTTCAATAAATATCAATGCATAATTTGCAACCTCAAAAATAATGCCACAATGAGAAAAAATAACAAAGCAACAGATGGATTTATTTAAATTATATAATTCATTAACCTATTAATGGGAATAAGATAATAAGGTTCGTAAAATGAATGGTAGGGAGAAATGCAAATGACATTAGCCGAATGAAGTTTACAAAACGGAAAAAAAGAACAAATACATTTGTTGTATCTTACATCTCCGGAAGATATTCAAACTTGAAAAATATGTTTGTTAGTTGCTGAAGGGATAAGAATCTTTCTTCCTTCTTTACAATCTTTTCTCATTTCATCCTATTATTTTTAAGGCTGTTTGTCATTTCGAATGAACTCTATATTCAAGAATAAATTAGAGTATACTCAGCAGGAAATATTCAAAAGGAATGAATTCAAAAGGAATTCTTAAAAAGAATTCAATAGAAAATATTCAAAAGGAATAAATTAAATGGAAATATGCTGAAGAATGTCTAAGGTATGTAATATAAATTAGGAAACAGACATAATCAGACAAAAAAAAAAAAAAAAACACAGACATAAAGGATAAAGAAAGAATGAATCTCAGTGTTATGTCTGATTAAGAATTTGTTAACTAATACATTATGCATTTGATGACCATCTTTCCTAACATAATACTATAAAGTTAGTTTAGCTTTCCAGTCCATTTATACAGAGTACAATGTAGTATATCTGTTGTGTCAAGTAAATGAAATCATTCGATCCAAAGTCAATCCGTCTAATTGTATTATAGTCTTATTACAGCTTTCATTGAAGTCTTTAAAATTTTTTTATTAAAATTTAATTTAAATTTGTCAATTAAAAATAAATTTCAAAGTTCAAAATCTGTTTGATCAATAAATTCCCAAGAAAGACATGTCATATCAAAATTTCATAATAAAAATTTTTCTCTCATCAGGAGGACATCAAAACTTACTGGTAGGGAAACTATCTGGAAATTGAAAAAATAAATACCAAATCAGTTTGAATAAATATCAGTTATATTTTTTATAATCTAACTAATAATTCTATTAAACATTATGTTTTTACAGCAACAAATCATAATTAGCCGCTAAGCATAATTGTATTATGATTTGTGGATAAATTATTGTTAAGTTAGCATAGAAAATAATTTCATGCCTTTCAAGTATCAATAAAAAAATTCAAAAGCGGATCTCTTTTTTATATGAATAGAATCAACCCATCTACAACAACATAGTATCATGTGTCATACCATAAGGGAACATTTTCAAGTCTAAGCTAATCTGAATCAACAAGTATAAAGTAAATCGGTGATGCAAAAAAAAAAAAAAAAAAATGCCCTAAGTAAAAAGAAGCAAGAGAAGAGCGGGGATTACCTTGAGTGGATGAAATTGATTCGGGAAGAGGAGCAAATTATAGTAATAAGAAGCAGACGATCGAGGTAGTGCATTGAATGGTAGCCGCTCGTGCTGTCACGATGGCCTGAATTGCTAATCCTTGAAGAGTGGCCGTTTGGCTAGCACTAACACACTGATTTGTTTTCTAGTTGCATGTTCCGAATGCCTCTTTCCTTACTCCATCTTCTTCCTATCTGTCCTTTAAAAGAAATTTCCATTTTTCACAAAAGCTACTTTTCAAAAGAACATCACAGTGAATGAATGAGTGATGATAAGTCTTACTCCTTATTTTCAAGTTAAGCATACATTTGCTATGCTGTAAACAACTGAATCAAACAATCAACATGAAAACAAATAAGTAAACATTATATTTATTCATCTGTTCATATACATACATACATCATACACACAGACACACACATGCATAACAAGCGTATATGCTTGACGCCACATGTTCAAACTAGGCTCTTAAGCTCCCATTTCTATATAGTACGTCGCATGTTTGCGTCTCTTCTTGTGTCTATGTATGCATAATATCGGAGTGTCATCTTTCAAGCCTAACATATCCTTTGTCGAGAATGCAGTTACGCAAGTATTACAGCCAGCATCCTTATCTCTCACATGACTTATCAGGCTACCACTAATTTCACTACCGACCGTATAGGAATTTTCCTGGTTTAGAGGAAGAGGAAGAGAATATAAGGGCTATTATCCTCAAGCGAAGAAAAAACTTTAGATACATAAGTTTGGACAACGATAAGCTGTGTATATGTCTATGGATTTGCTAGAAGTTTCAAAATGAAAATTTTTGAAAAAGACTTTATCTTTCCTTTCACCTTTAATTTCCAACTGACACATTACGACATCATTCAAGAATTCTAATTTCAGCATTTTAGTTACAGATTAGAAAAGGTTAACAACCCTCAAGGATAACTCTATGAATACGTAGCAAAGAAATAGGCGAAACTGACCGCAGGCTAATCTTGCATGTAAAAAATCTGGGTTCCGAAACAAAAACTGAGGAGAAGAGAAACTGTGTATGTAAAGGAGGCAATCTATGACATCTTCATTCAAATGCATTCATGGTTGATTTTAAAAAAAAAAAAAAAAAAAAATTAAAAAAAGAAAAGAAAAACAATAAATTTGATGTTTTTTTCGGAAAAGATGTCAGACGAGACAATGAGATATCTGGGACTATTACTTAATGAGAATTATTGTTAATTCCTTTCAATTTGTAGTCTTGAACAAGATATTCCATGCCAACAACTAAAAGGTGTGCAAGTCTTCTGTGTACAAATGGTACAAACTGTCAAATCACAAATAGCAGAAAAAAGAAAATATGGTTCAATAGCGAATATCAAAATCATTTTTCAAAAAAAAAAAAAAAAAATGATAAAAAGCGGTTTATCGTCTAGACACATGCTAAACCAAGTTTTAGAAATTTTCCAGTTTTTTTTCGATCCATCAAAAAATGGATACAACAGCATATAATTTGACTAAACAATTGGTGAACAAAAAAAGTAATACACTTTGAACTTATTAAAATTAAAAAACAACTTCGCCATCAAAGCTTCTTAGATCGTCACCACCGAAACCATTGTTACAGTCTTCACAATAGTCCAATTAATATCGCTGGATGTAGTAATTTTCTTAAAAAAAGTTGTTTGAAAGTGAGAATTTATAAAGCAACTTTAAAGATTATTTTAGATATTCTACTGCTCTATATTAGCTTTTTTAAACTTAAGTCGAAAGTTAAGTTTTTTAAACTTTATGCAGCATCAAGCAAATCAACAAAAATTCTTTTTTCAAAACTGGAAGAAAACAGAATTGTAGAAAACAGAATTATTTTTTACAAATGACTATACCTAAACAATCAAACCTAAATATAATACTTGCCCAATACCTTATAAAATTGGAATCTGTAAACTAACAATAACAACAAACCGTCTTAAGAAAGCTGCATTCAATTCCATAGACAATTAGTTGCACAAATGAGTAATACAGAACTAGGCGGATTATGTAATCTTCAAAGTTGCACAAATAGTTCAGTCTGTAAACTAAAAATGCTGCAACTTTTTAAAAACTATAGATTTAAATTTAATTCACTACCGCTACATGCAGTTGCTGTCACATTCAACGTGATTTAAGTGATTTAAGGTGCAAGTTTTATTTGGCATTTCTAGTTTTTTGGATATTCGAACAAGGATTAAATTTTAAGCAGAGAGAGAGGTTTTAAATAGAAGAATTTGACAAAAAAAGAAAAAAAAAAAGGATTGGTAGAACGTTTATTTGAGTTGTTAGAATCACTAGTAAGGAGCAGAACTTGCTTTTTCGAAAAAAACACACATTTATTTAAGAAGAGACACGTCCAACATTATCATCTTCAATAATCTGTCTAGTCCGACATAACTTATCAATTTCGTTGACAAATATAATCAAAGCAACATTATAAGCTAAAGCATGGTCGAAAAGTTCATGAATTAATTCCTCACTCTGACCAATCCATGTTGAAACAAATCTGAGGAACAAACCTGCAACGAGTCGAAATATGAATTAGTTATGTGGAATTCACTATATAAAATCACGGCTTCTTTGCCATACGAATTTGTTTTGACTTAATGGCGAATGGCATTAATTGAAGAATCACTGAAATTTTAATTTAAATTTGAAGAATTTAAATGATATGATACTTTAAACGATATTACTCGCCATTAAATCATGCGGGAAGCACTTATAAAATTAAAAAAAAAAAAAAAAACTAATGACTTCTACTTGTAATTAAGCATATTTTACCTAGTAAAATCTCATAGTCATTTCCCGCGCAGCAGACTGAGATAAACATGTTTTACCTGAAATATTTGTTTTTTTTTTTTAATCCACCTTTATTTTCATTTTAAATATTTCTGTCAAAGATTTCATTTTAAATAGACCATAATCCAATTAAAATTGGAAGCTTTATAATATCTTTGAAACTTTTACATATATTTTGAAGTATTTTGCAGAAAAATTCAGTTGAGATATCTTATTTAGATAAATGAATAAAATAAGCAAGGAATTAGGTAATACTATAGAGGTGACAAGAAAAAATTAGTTCCTGATGAACAGAGAATGCAAACCAGGGATTATGGCTTGATGTAACATTCGGATACAACACAGGATCAACCACGACTTCCGTTAGAGCCGTGCTAACAATTACTAGGCGTAAAATTCTGTTTGTTCAACAATATCATCCTTAGCAGGAAGTTGTGACTTGTCTTTAACAATGAAACAATGGTACGTTCAATAGCTTCTCTTCATCCAGTAAGAGTCGAGAATATACCCGATGAAGTATTCTGGAAACTAACAAAAATTCAAATTTTTATAAAATTTATATCAAACTAACACGAATTCTTTTTTTCTGTACCGGTAGAATTTCAGATCATTTTCTAATAAATTGATAACTTTCGTTTTTTAAATAGTATTATTGAGATGGGAAATTTCACAAAACAATATAACAGTGGCATCACTTAAGACATTAATTCATTTTAATTCACTAATTTTATAAACTGACTTCATAGAAGAAAGAAATAGTTGTTGATTAGAAAATTTGCTGTCTTACAGCGAGTGCAAGTCAACTGAGTAATATCCACGAAAAATCACTTTTGACATAAGACACATGAGGGTGGAAATGACGACAAATATTTGACAGCTCGAACAGAACATGATCCTTATTTCCCATGAAAAAACACAAATAACATATATTAACCTGTAAACTACCTCTCAGAGACGACCGGAAATTTCGAAAAAAAAAATGACTACCTTATCAGAAATAATTGTTGGTGATGGTTTTTTGTTTGTTTGCCAGTATGTAATATTTACTACGTACAGCAGCATAGAGAAAATTCTCTCAACCTTATATTTGCTGACACCCCAGTACGAATGATTTGATATCTGTAATTTTTATTTATGATAAGAATCAAATAGTCTGTTACTAAAAAGATTAATTCCCTTAGTTTGTGCCAAAATACAGTATTCAACCCCTCGGCTGTAATAAACTGATCCTTTTCTCATCTCCAAGCACCTTATTTGATGCCCTATAAACTGCAGCACTCTACATTTTTGTATAATAGATTATACCAAGCCAGAAACCGGTTTTCCTGTGTCTTATACACTGAATACTGCGGAGCTCCCAACTGACACACGGATTTTATAACTAGGAAATAGAAACCGGCTTGCTGGAAATAGTAATGTGGAAATTAGCACTTCCCCTCATCTAACAACAAATTTGATAATCAAGAAAGGCTTTCCATGTGTGCAGAACATCAGCTTAAAACAACTTTACATGTTAAGTGAAAGCTGATATTTAATTTTTTGTATTTTACACAAAAATACAAGTTTTTGAAGAAATGCAGCACGTAATGAACATATATATTTTCAAATACTACGCAATATTACCATTTCGTCATAAAACTTATACATGATAGTACCCTCAAGAACCAGTAAGAAAAGCCAGTCCATAATACATCACACATACCATGTACCTAGTGTTTCTCTCTTTCAGGTTTTCTTTTGAAGGTAATGCATGTTCTGGAAATGCGCACTCAATATTTCGAAGCAACAAATAAAAATAAAGAGATCATATAAGAATCATGAAATGTATTTTAAAATTTTATTGGTTAAAATTTTATTGATTTCATTCTTAAGCTACCAGTCAATATTGATTAAAATTAAGGTCAAAATCAGAAACAAATATGGTTGTACGTATTTATTTGTTCTTTAAGCATGCACATATTACAGTTGAATTGTTGCGCTACGTTCAGAGCTCGATCTGTTAAATATAGAACATCTACAAGCTGCGAAAGCAAGCAATCCGCTACGGTAACTGTCAATCCCTGAGCACCTGAAATGAAGTAAATCAAAAATTTTGTGAATAAAAAACTCATTAAATATCATTATCATACTATATCATTATTAGAAATCATAAAAAAAAAACTCGAAATCCAAAAAAAAGTCGGTTTTAATTAGGGAAACAACCGATATATTTTCTGAAGTTGTAAAATTAACATAATCACGTCTGATCTATGTGCTGCCATAACCTCACAAATCTCCCTGATTCTCCTCCAAAACGATGGTTGATAAATAGTAGTGACTATGTGGAATAACTGCTTGCATCTCAATCTCATTTCTTTAGATCTTAAAACAGATATTAAATAGTTAAGCTATACGTATATAAAAACACTTCGAAAACAGCACCATTGGTTTTCGGCGTGACTTGATAAGCAGCACAAACAAGGCGATTTGCACTTATATAATATGAGAAAACCAAATCAGGTGGCAGTGGAGGATTGAAACATCGCGTTATCGCTGTATTACATAGTTCTAGCAACGTACGTTTTCCTGGCATGCATAATGTTAAACGTGCTTGTCCGATCAAGTTTGTTATCTGAAAAAAGAAAATTGCTAATAAGCAGAAAATTTATTATATAAAACATTTCTTGTTGGATAAAAGTATTGTTGATACAAAGGAAAATGGAAAGCTTAGAATTTTAGACTTAAATTATATATAAAATATATATATATATATATATATAATTTATCGAAAACAATTAAAAACTGATAAAACGAGGGCAATAGATTGTACCTTAGCAATAACGGTGGTAGCAATGGATGACATCTTACTGATATCATCAGGTGGCACATGCCTAATCCACTTTAGTTTCTAAAGAATAGTTAATGTAATAAATTTTGGTCATTTAAGACTATTTTTCACAAAAAACAAAAACAAAAAAAGGAACTGAAATTAGGATTGTAAAAAAACTCACCTGAATAAGCATGCTTAGAGCCTGAACATAGTAGTTATCGGCATCTTGCATTTGCTGCAATTTCCATTGTACATCAGGCTGTGCAACTCCGCGATAAACACCACCAGGCATTTTCGGATGCTTTATTATCACCTAAAAATCACTTGATTCAAGTAGGAAATCGTTCTACATTTGTATTAAAAGTTCATATAAACAAAATAAGAACTTCTGAAAGAATCAGTAAATAAGTTTTCTCCTACTATAAAAACGCAGAGCATTTTAATTTTGGATCTTTCTGTCATTACCTCGGTTTGTATAACGCTTTCGCCAAGCAACATGACAGAACATTTGAACACTTCCGCTCCCGTTCGTTGTACCAACGAAACTTTTTCTGTTGTTGGATTTTCAATCTCCAACTTAACTGACGAATCCACTTTAGTAGATAAATTCATTCTTTTACAAATCGCCCGTAAAATATTTTCTAGCTAAAATCTTTAAAACAAATAAACTATTAAGTAAAAATAGCTCAGTAATATAACTGTCAGTTAAAACTAGTTTTCTAATTCTTGACATATATAACCATAGCTATAAATCTCTTCCAAAACATCCGATATTAATTCGTGCTAAATCCAACACCATGGATTGAAAATCTCTTAAGAAACCTTCATAAAAATTTCTACGATTTCCAAATTTTGAAACCAGTGCTGTTCAGCCAACAGACCACGTTGTATCAGTAATGCTCGCCTTCTCCTTGATTCAGGACTACTTCTGTGGATGTCATCATTACCATCACCATCATCATCATCATCACCTTGAGCTACCTGGCGGTGAACGGTTTCGGTGACAACGCCTGCTTCACTCATTGCGACCTTTCATCATCTGAACATTACCTTTAAAGTACCACAAGACATGTTATCGTGACCTAGCAAAGTTACCACCATCATATTCACATACTCACCTAACAATCAGAAACCACCTCTGCCAACCGAATCACACAGCACTCCCTGTCATCCACCTCGTCCCTTTACGGGACACTATGCAATGCTGATGAGTCATGCTTGATAAGTCTTTGAGGACAGACAGGTCAACGTCAAAGTACTCTTCAGGTTACTTCTTTCCATTGCAGTCACTGGTTTTTAATGTGAACTGTGCTCTGAACCTTTCTTTCTTTTTTAAGAGAAGAAATAGGTTCATTCCTTCCGGGGAAAGGAAGAGAAGCACAAGGATGGCATCGTCATATGCATTATTCGACATTTACTTCCTGTTCTGTTTAGCATTCAGTATTCTTTTATACAGACTTTAATTTGTTACGCAAAAATCGCTAGGTGAAAACTATTGGCTAAACAAAATAGCAGGGGTCAAAGGTCTATTCCTATAACTTATTATATCTGATCTATTTCGTTTCAGTCCCATATTTCACTTGCGCATCTTTTATTTTTTGTGCAACTATCAATCAAGTCAGGAGAATGTCACTGCCTACAGTATTTGTGGTTTGTTACCTTTCTTCCTCTTAGATTTCTGTGTAAGTGTTATTTAAATGAATGACTAGGTTGCCTACATTGCCTACACTGAATAGTATCAATGCTAATCCTGGGAAGAATCTCACCAATAGCAAGTTCATTACAGTTTTAATCAAGAAGCTTCGAGTACTTCAGTCCTCATTTGATTGGCCAACATCGAACCTATAAACCTACTGCTACTTTTATTAACGTAGATATCTTCTGTTTAATATTGTTGCAATATAGCCCCTTTAAAATAAAGCCGATTGACTAGCTTTGATAGGAATTATCGTTGCAGATTGCATAGTTAATAAACAGTTGAAATTTAGAATACTAAATATTCTTTCTCCTTTTTAAGAAAAAATGTTCCTTTTTCTATCAAAAATTTGAAAATGCTGAGACATTAGCCATTTGGTTTGCTCAATCAGTTATTCATCAGTTTCACAGATTACTGGTGCGAACAAAGGAATTGGTTATGGTATAGTGAAAGGTCTTGCTGAAAAGTTGCAGACTGCAATCATATACCTTACGGGTATTATTTGCATGTTGCAATGAATATTAATTATAACTTGTAACTGTACTTACTGGAAGAAGAAAAATGGAAGGTTCACTGACGAATCAGTTTTGCTTTCCCTAAATTTCTTCATGGATCAGATCATTTTTATTGTAATATTCAATAATCTCCATTCCTTTTTTTTCCACAGCTAATTGAATACAATTTCTTCATTTTTACAGCGAGGAATGACAAATTAGGTAGAGAATCGTTGGACAAACTGATCAAAGAACTGGGCGATAATCGTCACTCTGACATTCGTTTTCATCAACTTGACATCACCGATCATACCAGCTGCGAGAATTTTGCTTCCTACTTGAAAAAAGAGCACAATGGACTGGATGTATTGATTAACAATGCAGGATTTGCTTTCAAAGTGATTAAATAACTGATACAAAATTTTTTACGCTTACATTTTGAATCAAATGATATTACAATAAAGATATAGAATCGCTCTATGATTTTTTACTTTGGTCATTGTAAAAATATTTGAAAATGACTTTATTGAAGGGTGTATTAATATTCATTTTCAAAAGGAGGAATGTGTTTTTTTTTTGTTGAGCTTTGAAAAGTGAAAGAATTGAATTATGGTCATGCACTTCAGAACGCAGCAACTGAACCACCAGAAAAACAGGCTCGCGTAACAATTGGTATCAATTATAATGGTACTAAACAAGTCTCTGACATACTATTTCCCCTCATTCGAGATGGAGGAAGGTTAATTTTTTTCAGCTTCTATTAGTTAATCAAAATTAAAGGAAGCAGTTTTCCAGGTCTCAGGTAGTTGTTGATTTTTTCTGTGCATGTTAATTACATTTTTTATTTAGAGTTGTTAACGTAAGCAGTTCGGAAGGTGTTATTGCTGGTCATTATAGTGATGAAATTATTGCTAGGCTTACCAGTCCTTCGTTAACAATTGCTGATATCGATAAGTTCACTCGTGATTACATAAAGTGAAGATTTTGATTAATACAAATTATGTTTTTTGTATTAGAATAAATGTAATTAAATGAATAAAAGTAATTAAATAAAGGGAATGGTGGTAAGAAGCAAGGAGGATTTGGGAAACTTTTTTGTCATTGAATAATGACGGTATTTTTTTGTATCGTGTAGTGTTAGTCTTTATCATAAGAATAGTATTCCAGGGCTTGCATTGAAGATAAACGGAGAGAAAATGGCTTTCCTAACTCAGCATACAAAGTGTCAAAAGCTGCAGTTATAGCACTCACATTCATCCAAGCGAAAGAACTGAAAAGCCGAAATATTTTGGTGAATGCGGTTCGTCGTTTCTTTTCTTGATTTTCTGAAACTTTATTCTAAATGCTGTACTGAAAAATGTTTAAGGTATTCATTAATGAGCAGGATAACTTTATTTCTTCATTCAGTTTTTTTTTTTTCTTACCCGTTTTAGCGAATTCTAAATTTTTGTTTCGTGAAATCAAGGAGTTTTTGATCGTAGTAAAGGAATGGATTATTGAGACGCATTAATTCATTACAATTTTCGGGATAGATTCGTAAAGGTGAGTAACTCTCAATTCTTTACTGAAATGAATAGAAGTTTTTGCAGTGTCACCCCGGATATGTTAATACCGACATGACAAGTCATCACGGTCTTCTAACAGTTGAAGAAGGTGCTGACACACCTATTTATTTAGCAACTTTGGAAGGCAACGGTCCAACTGGAAAATTTTTTTATAAGAGAAAAGAGATCGATTGGAGTGTACCATTTGTTAGCAGTTGATTTTTTGAATTCATCAATCAGTAATTTGTGATTCTGTGAAGTTCATTATCAGTCAGTAGTCTCTTTATGTATCTTGAGCGTTTTTGTTTATTCATTATACCATTTTTTTTTTCAATGAAACAAAAGAAAATAGGGAAGAATTATTATTATTATTATTATTATTGTTAGAACATATAAGGGGAAGTTATTCATATGGTTGTAACCGTTAAGACATCCCATCATTTTTGGTAGTTTCCTACATTATCAATGATATTTCTCAGCACAATCATTCAGAATTCATTTTCGATGCGAATTCACTTTAAATGATTGCGGTAATGTTTACATTCATGAAACAAAAGAATCACTGTCTCTTTAACGTTTAGATAAAAGTTGATGCAGTAAAACCACAATAGTTATTCAAAGTCGATGGTACACACGCTGTTTCAACTTTTTATAAAATTTATGTGATTTAAATATGTACGGCTATTATTATTGAATAATTAATAAGAGTGAAGAGGCAATGAAAACTTATCTCTTAAAATTGGGGATTTAACTGAGTTGCCATATCGATAGATCAGGAAATCATATTAAAGCAACTTAACAACATATTATCGGTGAATGTTGTTACGACAAAATATTTCTCGTTAATTTTTGTTAAAAAGACATTTCGATATGGTAGATGATCAGCATCGTCCTTAAGTATGAAAGTTGAAGTTAGTAAACTTAGTGAACGATGAGTAATTTAAGAACGATGGCACTTAACATTGCTTTTGTTTGTAATTCATTTGTTCAACATGACTTATAGTTCAGTTCGTTCTTGAACTAACAGCCAGAGTTACACTTTTGCCACAAACAAGTGTTATTTGGTCGCACTTATAAATGCTTTTCTGAATGCATTCCGGAAATAATTGCCTCACGTGGCACGCAATATCGTCCTGTTTTATGAGGATTGCAGCTATATTTGTTAATGGATTTAGATTACAACTAATTGCTACTGCTACACGGATCAATTCGGAATAGTAGGTTGTTGGATCGTCATCATTATCGCCTATCAACAACTTAATGCATAATGGTATCACGTAAAAAAACAAAGTGAACACACAGGAAACACCCATTGTAATGGTGAGCTTACACTGGCGTGCTTCAAATAACCGTAGCGATGTCTCCTAAAATATACTGTATTGGAGTATTTGTCTCCTGTGCTCACACTGCATACATAGACGAAATTTCAAGTTCAAACACTTTCTATTTGCATCACATTAAAAATATCTTAAAAATGAGCCACTTGAAATGTTCAAGTAGACTTTCATTATTCACTTTATTTATTACTTACTTTATTATTGTTTATTATTATTATTATTATTATTATTATTATTATTATTATATTAATTATTAATTATTAGTTCAATTTATTATTAAACTGGATTTTTGTGGTAGGAAGAATTCATTTTCAATCTGAAGAAAGCGCTTAAATCAGTCAAAATTAGGGCCAGTCAAAACAGGAACAGACAATACCAACAAAAAGGAGATTATATAAGAAGCCCTAGACAACTATAACAATCTGATCTAAAGTAACTTCTGTCTCTTCCCTATTGCCTTCTGTTTGTTCTGTTTTTTCTTCCTTTCTGTTTACCTATCTTTTTCCTTTTCTTCAGTTAGAAGAGCAGCAAATGTAAACTAACCGATTGATTACTTTTTATCCGGCGAAGATGTTTTCTGCTCAACAAATATACAGCAATGTAGAGAATAACACTTAAGGATGTGGAAATGATCATCACCAAAGCATGCAAATCCGCGAAAAACGGCTGCAGAACATCACCTGACCTGAATATAGATGTTCCGTAAGGAATGAAATGATCCGGTTTAGCGATTTATCTGTGAACTAATCAAAATTTTACCAACAAAAACCATGCAACATAGATTCCGTATCTTTGAAGGAAAAAAACCAGCAAACGAAGATGAATAGTGACACTGAACCGAAATAAAAAGTGATCTGAAATTTAGCTCTGATCATTACTTAAGGCTTTTGAGGTTTCAATGTAAAATTGAAAAATTGCAAAATTCAAGGAGAGTGTTTCGGAGTCTTTACAACCAAGGATTCAAAAAAAAAAAACTTAATGCTTTATGCTAAAATTGGAAATTAACCTGCTTGATTTGATATGAATAGTTCTTCTCGAAATATCGCATCGGAAATAAAAGTGAAATGATGCGGTCTGTACTTACCATAAGTGTCGATATTGCTGACATTAACTCTGACCTGAATCATTATTTGCAGATTAATATTCTGATTAGCAAAGTGGGATGGGTCATAGGAACTTACAGACGAAGAGATAAATAAAAAAAAAAAAACAAAAAGCAAAATGTTAGAATTTACCAGGTAATCACTGTTGACCATGGTAACAACAAGCAAGATCGTCTAGTTATCCGAAAGCATCCAAGTCCTAATACAATTAGACGACCAATCCCGGCTAGGCAAAACCCAAATCCCAACGTTGTGTCGGCAAAAATCTATGAATGAGATATTGCATTTAAAAAAATGGCAGAAACAGCTTTAAAAAGTGAAGGAGCGGATAAATAAAGTTATTGGACATCAAATAATCTAATGTCATTTTGGTTAATTACCTGCGCAAACAAAATGATGTATTGTCGTCTGAGATGACGATGTTTGATTAATACTAATTCAACCATACCATTGCAAATGATAAGCAGAAATCCTTCAAATGCATAAATAGCAAATGTAATTGTTAAGAATAGTTCCCTATTTTCCATTACTATGACGCTGTGTTCGTAAAAAAATTGGCAACTGAAAGTGATGTGAAGTTTGCATTTAAATTGAATAAGTTGAAATGAGCCAAAATTAGTCAGCAATTCTATGAGTCAAATGGAAATCTGAATAAAGCACTTCATATATTTGCTTGCTGTGTCTAATGACATTACACTGTGATTAACTTATCACTACTGATTAGTGAATTTAACAAGAATAAATCAACCACTGACATCATATGTCTTTTTATAATTAATAAAAAGAACTGCTTGATTGAGCTTAATGAAATACCTTTTTAGGATACATTAAATAATATGATCATGGGAATTGTCGCTGCATGAATGGCTTTGCTAAAAAGCATTACAAGCGTTAAAACAAAAGTTTCCATGCATGCTGAAAACGTTAAACTAAGCTAATTACATCTATAATTGGTGAGAAAATTCCTTGTCACAGGCAGCAAAATCCTAAAATTACTATTTGAGCTTTCCAAAAATAATCTCTAAGAAATGGTAATTCATAAATTAAAAAAGAGCTATTTTGAGAGCTAATTATTTCTATCTCTAATACTGAATTGAATGGATGAATGAATGAATGCTTCCATTGTTGAAATTTATTTAAGTACTTAAAAGGACTATCAATAACAATAATCCAAGCTGCAGATACAGTGAAATTGTTTTCACTTCAAACTCTAAAAAAAAGATCAGATGGAGCTGTCGATTAAAGCTGCAAAACTGATTGTTAGGAAAAACAGAAAAATTTAAATATTTTTGAAAGGAGTTCCCTGCATGCGACACAACTGCTCTTATCAACGTACTAATATCATTGTTTCATTCTTCTCTAAAGACTACTCGTCAACTGTTACAGTATAAATCGCTAAACTTTTGTCTTAAATAGACATATCTCTCACAAACAGAAAAGTCCTCCACTATGTTTTATTGATAAAATATTTAATGCCTTTACTACTTTATTTACATTTTTGCAGAAATGACACTAATAAATTCTTGTTAAATAATAGTGTAACGCATAATGGATTAAATTAAAAATTTTGTGAATATCAGATTAGACGTGTTGCAAAAATATAAATTCTTCTCAAATAGTTACATCTACGAACTATTCGATTGCGTATGGCAATATTTTTCGAAAATATTTTTATAGCTCTTTATGTTACTTCGTCAGAACCCTTACAACGATAGAAATTCTGCAATCATCTACAACGCTAGCCATTATTGGTTTGACCAATAATGATCAGTGAAACTAATCAATTTTTTCAATTAAGGTTGAGTAATTAATGAAAATAAAAGTCAGATTAATATTAAGTAAAGTTTATCCGCTAATGCAAGATAAGTTTAACTGTAGCAGTTTCTTCTTAATCAGCTACAGATCACTGATAACAATGAAGTAATCGTATCTCTGATCAAAACGATCGAATCAATTTTTTCGATTTTTCACGTTACTGAATTAGAATCAGTAGTACATTAATTACAGCTCAATGTTCCATAAGGTTACAATAATTGGAAACCCCTTTAGTGATTAGAATCTTTCAATCAGTAAATTAAATGCACAATAATTAATATCGAAAAACTGATATGTTAATTAAATTTTGTCAGAACGTTAATAAGCATGTCTGTTGAAAATTTAAAAAAAAATTCTCTTGGTATTGTTTAAAAAGTAACGTCTATTTTAATAATCCATTCATAATCAGCAGACTGAGGGAAAACATATTGAAAGGAAAAGAATGCATTGCAGAGTTATTAACATGAAGCAATTCAGGTGTAAACAACAAATCATTAATGATGGCCAAAAGTTGTTTCTAAACATGAAATAATTACTGCCATAGATTGCACTCACATTTCATTTTTCTATCATTTTTATGAGTGTTAGCATATTATTTAACAAGCCTTACTATTATCAGAAATTATTTCTTCTTTAAAAAAAAAAATTTTAAATATAAAAATTTTCAATTTTAATTGCTACTAAACATTAAATACTGAAAATTTATGTATCTGCCAGCAATATATTTTGCACTCAGCCAAAACTTTAAATGAAATCGGATTTGAAACAGTTTTAAGTGATAATTGTTTTTTTAATTTCGTTACAAGATCATAAATAACGACATTACAAGAAAAAATACGCAGACATCTCTCAAGCCTCATTCATATTTCTGCTTCTTCTGCTTACAACTAACTGAATTTATGTTTTATATGATAACTGGTTGAAGGATTTTATTTCTTATAAACCAAAGTTGAAAGTATCCGGAACGAAAAGTTATTACATCCGGAATGAAAAGTTATTACAGCTTTACAAACATCGTTTGTATCAAATGTGTACATAATAGCTCTGCTAACTAACAATATAATAGTGAAATTAATTCCTAGAAACTTATGTAGCATATATTAATTAATGAGAACCTCAAATACTTAAATCCATTACAGCAACGAATTGTGTGTTATAACGAATAATCAGAAATCTCAGTGATTATCTGTTCTCAAGCATTTTCATGATCTTTTCTAAGTCTGAATTTCAGATGTACAACAATTGCAAGTCTATGTTTATTAACCATTGTTTTATGAGCTACAATTTCTTTCCTTGGTTATTATCAGATGTATTCAATCTAGCAAAGTTGTCACTTTCTATAGTCTTTTTTATAAATCATATCGTTCTTATTTTGCTAACAAAACAATTTCTTCATTTTGAATAATGTTTTATAAATGAGCTTAAAGACGTATTTATTTGGGAAGAGAACCGTAACAACCAAAGTATTTTGTTGACGAGAAATAAATTTCTTTATTTCACAACTTAGAAACGTGCTTCTCAAACTCTCGAAAGGATTTTTTGCATGCTCCTGATTCTGTTTTTGGCTCTTATCTTCCTTGCAAAACTTTTTAAATTACAAATGTAGAATTATACTTAAAGTTTGAGCAGATGTTAGACTAAAAGTTTGTTAGTATTGCAGGTTGATTCCTTTAAATTAAAATATATTTTGAACCAAAATGAAAAAATCATTAGAATTTCTTTTTGTCTGACAATACTTTCCTAATCCAATTAATAAACAGTGCAATAAATATTAAAATTATACATAATAGAATTGCATTATTTCGGAATGTTTTTCAATATCAAATAGTAGATTAACTATTAAACCTTTAGCCTAAAAATTGTTATTCATTTATCAATCCAGTAAATAAATAAATATAACTGAGAATATAAACAAATGCATGTATATATATATATATAATTGATTATTTCTTTCAGATGAATTTGAACTTCATGGAAATAGAGATAGAATTTCTGCTTTATCGGGCATAATTATGATTACTCAAATTTTGAAATATGAGTTATTTGTCCAATAATAATGTTAATAAGTTATGATGTTGAAGAACTTTTGAAATGTTTCACATTTAACTAAATGTAAGGAAAGCTACAGGTTTCGAATCAATCAAACAGGAAGTTAGACTGATCCAGTGCAGTTGAGAGGAAAACTAGAAAAATAGTAAAATCGATAGGGATGTGTGAAATAACACCATAATGGTTACAATTTGCGATGCTTAAATGATTATCTTTCTTATCAATATAAAATATTGATACTTCGGGTCTTGGATCCTTCATTAATTTTTAATGATAGTTTCCTTCTAATCAAAATGAAACATCAACAATTCGATAATGATGTTTGGAGTGAGTGTAGATCACCCCATAGATCACTAATATTGAGTAAAATTACTTTTCCCAGCTCTTCAGCACTTTATGACAGTTTTTCTAACCTATTAAAATAGAATGGATTAACGATATCGAGATCGTTTCTTCTAATCATAAGTCATGCAGCTATTGGTGTCATCATATATTAGATAATATTCAAAAATCTGCTTTATTCTTTATTATTTCATTTTATCGTCAGGAAGTTGTACATTCAAGAAGTTAAGCACACAATACTTCAAACTTAAATAACACAAAAAAAAACACTGATTTTAAAGAAAACAATGATCCTTTCTCAGACTTCACATGTCACTAAAAATTTCAATGAGGAATTGATTGCTTTGTGAAAATTCTGGTATCATTGGAGATTTAACGACTAGGAACAATTTTTGGATCCAGAGTTTTGTTTCAAAAATTGACAGTTTAAAATTGGTGCTTCGTTTTTAAAAAGCAATGATGCAGACTTTAGTTGACTCATTGAGAGTTGAGATTAGCTAACACAACACTACTAATGGCTAATGGCTAGTGGTTAACGTAAACTACGGATTGGGTGGCATATCATATTATTTCAAATTACTGTTGTAATCATTTTTTCTTCTTTTCATTATTCCAAACGAATCACTTTATTTTACTATTTAATTGATGATTCTCCTCGCCGATACTTTTGGGCCTTCCACCACTGTTGGTAGCTCAAATTTGTAAAACTTCTTTTAGTCAGTTCTTTTGAAATATTTCGATTCATCTTCATGTCATTTGAAAAGGAAATGGAAAGAATGGGAGTCAATTTTCCATTGGT